GCAAAGGACCAGCATAAACCAGCAAAGGACCAGCATAAACCAGCATCCCAGCGTCAAAACATACCTAAGCTGGTTTTTTCAACAGGGATAATGAAATAAATAAATTCCAAATGCTATTTTCTAACAAAATCAAATTTATATCAAGCACATTAAGGTCAGCTCAGTAGTGTTTGGGTCCTACGGTGCCACGGGTTGCTACAACAGTTAACTGTTGCTACGGTCAGACGTGCAGTCATGCAGCAGAGAGCGGTGCACTGCGCGCAGACAGATGAAACTTTCAGTGAGTGAAAAGCATGGCATTCTTAAAAATTAGGAAAGTTGGCGGCTAGAAAAGAAAGTCTTAATTATGATTTCAGGAGATTTTAAATTGGGGAACGGTAAGACAAGATTTGCTAAAAATGCTATGATTTCACTGAATAAACATTAACACTGCAAGTTTCAAAGTAGGGCTGTGCGATATTGAAGAAAAATGCGATATGCGATACCTTGATATGCGATACAATATTGCTTTAAGAGTGTGAAATCAATTTAAATTATATTTAAAAACAAAAAATTATATAACCAATGTATATTTTTCACATTCTTTCTTGGAAAAGAAAGCATCACTACAACTTCTGAATGACAAGCAGTGTTTTAGCATTACATAAAAAGCAATATCTAAAAAAAAAAAGATGCAAATGAAATAAACAGTGCTTCAACTTTCAGGCAGGCTTACATTAGATATATTTAACAGTAGCGTTTCAAGTAAGAAACAATACAGAAAATAAATAATCAAACGTAAAACTAAAACAATGCATAGTCTTCACATGAATTAATATACATTGATTCATAATAAAGCTACAAAGGTTTTTCAGTCAAGCTTAGCTTCTCAGTGAAGCACGGTTCTGTGATTAGTTGTAATTACTGCTCCATCCGAAGGCCAGTGGGCACTCTCGTGCTGAAACTCAAAATATACCTCGCAGAAGAAAGGTAATACACATCATTCCAGGAAATCCCTATCACTGCAGCTGAATAAACAGAAGATTGAACTGCTTTCATTGATTCAATGTGACTAATAAACATACAGTTACAGCGATTTATGGTTTATCTGAGTTCTTCTTATTATAATTTTTATTAATACATATTTAAAAATGCAATGCTAATCACCTTTATCACTGCATAGAATATTATAAAATATGTTGTGTGCCTTATTCTGTGTAAGAAGCCACATCATCACAGAAGAATTTTATTTCAGACACTCCACTGACATTATGAAGTAAGTTTGGAGTAAAAATATATTAAATGTTGTCTTTTGTTGGACAAGAGGGTCATAAATACTTCTTATGTTTGAAAGATGTTTGACAAGACATTTAGAGGTAGCCTATTAATCAAAGAATAATTCAGATATCACATGGCATTGCGATATGCATATTGCGATATGGACAATTTGCGATATTTCGATAATTTCAATATATCGTGCAGCGCTATTACAGGCGCTGCGCTGCTTTGTGTACTGCCATTTCCGAGGAAACCGCTATACTTCTGCCGTTCCGAAAGCACCACCAGCTGGCAGTGAATTAATTAGCATTTTTAATAAGCCCGTCTGTTGTTTTTGTTCAGACCAATGTGAAAATAAACCAATGTTTTATGCAGCAAACATGCAGAGTTGTAAATATGAAGTAGTGGATCGACCAGAAGATAATGTATTATAAAAATTTAAACAATTAAGACAGTAACATATATTTATGTTATTTAATTAATATAATAAATGATTGATAATTGTTTAGATTAATATTTAAATTAAAAATGGTTTAAATGCTGAAATGTGAAGTTAATCATTTTATAAAACTTTTCGTTTTGGTGAAAACCTGTATATGAACTCTAAATCATGTTTTTTACAGTCATTTTGATTTTATTTATGCAGGTCTTTTAAAAAGGTCTTAAAAAGTCTTAAATATGAGTGTAACAAATTTCGTAGATCGGGAAGAAGGAGGCGGGAACTGGTAAACATTGAAACATAATTTAATAACAAAATAAATACAAAACTGAAAATAGTGCGACAGTCCCTTACGGATGACTGCCGCGCACAAACAGAACCAAAACAACATAAAATCCAGGCCTGGTCCACTCTCGTCCTTCACTGTCGTTACTCCTCCTTTTATCCTTCCCGGAGCTCCTCCATGGGACTGGGACTTGAGTGAGTGGTGCAGGTGTCGCTCATTATCATTTACTCCACCGGCATCGCTCCGTTCCCACGGCTCTCGGCCCCGCCCCACTCGTCACAATGAGCTTAAATATCATGCAGATACCCTGGTCTAGCAAAAACCATCAAATAATGTTTTTAGGTAGGCCAATATAATTGTCCGGACCTCGGCTGGTGAGAAATGTTTATTCCTGGACCTCAAGCAATTTTAGTCGAAGACCCCTGAATTACAGCATTTGTCACGTGTTTCAATTACCCTTCAAATTGCGCAAATTGAAGTCGTGAATTGAAAATACGTCAACTTTGCAAAAACTCCCATATATAGCAAAAAAGTTTTTACGCTCACACGAAGTGGTTTTTCAGGCAATTCGAAAAAGGAATATATCGCAAAACTGCAATGGAAACATTTTTTTTTCACATTTACAGGTCACCTGGTGTATGTATAAGTCAAATGACCATTCTTTAATGTACTATAACCTCCAAGAAACACCTCATAGGTGGCCGGTCTCAAGTATAAGGGGCTTTCTTTGCCATTAATGCTTGATAACCCCTTATTATGAAAGTCTGGTCTGTGATTATGAAAGCTGTTTTGCACAGCTTGTCAGTGAAGTACGGCTCAGTGTAGTAAATGCTGTTCCATCTGAAAGCACGACGAGTTTGAGTTGCTTAAAACTAGGGATGCGCCGATCCGATAGTGCCATTTTTCTCGGATTGGGTATCGGTCAGAGAGAGCCGATCCAAATCCGAGAATTGTATTTATGTATTTTTTCCCGATTGTGCGAATTATTCTGTGTTACTTCTGAAGCCATACGATAGCTTAATGTGAGCTACATATGAATATTTAAGTCCTTACATTAAAGTTCACACAAACTCTTTTTTCCGCTGTTGCTGTCAGTCATTCGTTCAGCCTTTAAACCCTGGTCTCGTTCGGTTACAGCAGTCAGCTCGGTAAAGCTCTCTCCAAGATCATTCTGTGTTCCCATTATACTTGATTTGTAAATACATGTCTATGATTTTGCAAAAAGACGTGCACAGTAACTGAAATTTAAAACTGTTAAAAGAAAGGCTCTTAAAAGACTGTTAAAAATAACTGTTGCACAGATATAATACACTACGCATCAGTTTCTCTTCCCTCTGTGCTTTGCAGTTTTTAACACGAAGCGCTTAATGTGCGCACATTGTAAGCGCTTCGTGCTCATAGACTGTCAACCCTCTACATTGCGAGTAAATCACTCTATGCGACTAAAACCCTATTCGCACGGGATTAGTATTACCTGGTGACCTCCAGTCATTCGGTATCGGAGGCGAAAAAGGCGGATCGGAGCATCCCTACTTAAAACCTGCATTTGAAAAAAAACAACATACGTCAAACATCTTTCCAAAACATGCAAAGCATTTATGAACCTCTTGGCCAACAAAATACCACATTTAATAACATGTTTTAATCCAAACTCACTTAGCATTGGATTATAAATATAGCATTTCATTATAAATATACTTTATTATAATGAAAATTATAATAAGAAGAACTCAGATAAACCATATATTGTCATAGTCGTGTGTTAGTCACGTCAAATCAATGAAAGCAGTTCAATCTTCTGTTTCCTGGAACGACATGCATTACCTTTCTTCTGCGGGGCATATTTGGAGTTTCAGCGCGAGACTGGCCTTCGGATGGAGATTTACTACTGATCACAGAACCGTGCTTCAGTGACAAGCTGTGCATGAAAATAGCAGATTTCACCTAATTGTGAATGCGATTTAATTTCAATTAATCATGCAGCCCTAATTGGAATTATATTGCATCGACCAAAATTAAGAAATACATCATGATATAAATTTTGGCCATGTTGTCCAGTCCTACTCTTAAGAGAAATTATACACATTTTGCATACTTAAAGACCTAAATAGAAAAATCATAATTCATTTGCAGTATGTACTTGAGGACAATGAACAGACTGCAGAAGAAAGGAGCAACTCCAAATCTGATGAGTGGATCACCTCAATTTTCTGACTCTGTTGATCCATTACTCAGAACTATGGGTAAGAATACAACATCTGATATTTTGCATTGCTGAATAAGACTTGCTCTTATATTGCAGTGCATTGATGAATCTGAGAATCTTTTTTATGTTTTTTTTCTAGATCACAATCCGTCCATTGTTTTATTTGGAAACTGTGCAGCAGTCCAGTTTCAACATGACAATATTGTACTTGGAGAAATACAACCAAATATTGAAAATGTCGCAATATCCAAGTCTGTTCCTTTGCAGATGATGATATCAGGACGTCACGTCTCCGTGATCAGCCTGATTGGCTTACATGAAACTGCACTTGACCTGCATCCCCTCACTGCTCAACTACTGAATGAAAATGAAATAATTGCCTTCATCTTTGTTGTGCGACTGGGCCAGTTAACAGATGCTGATAAGATGGGTCTTGAGTGGCTTCAGAGAGTGTTTGGTGATGAAGTTCTTCAGTTTGTGATGATTCTCTTCACCTATGAGAGCCAGGAAGAGTCTGACTCTATAATAGATGATCTGAAGAAAAACTCTGCTCTGGAGCGGCTGATTGAGAAATGTGGTGGAAGATATCACACCTGCAGCAAGAGCACGAGCAACCAGTCAGAGATAACAGACCTGATGAACAGGATTGAGCAACTGTTTATTGACAATAAACAGCAGTCCTACAGTGAGATGTACAACACTGCATTAAGAGAGAGAGAAGACCTGCAAAACAGGACATGTCAAAGTAAGAACAGGTTTTGTTTCCAAATATCTCTGACATTTTTATTTACCTCTGACTCTATTCAACCAAATTATTCATCATTCACAGATTATATTATAGACTCAAATATGTTGGAATACATGGGTTGTTTTGTTAAAATACATATGTAAGTAAGAATAACAAGTAACATTTAAACAAAGACAACAGAAACAACTGTGTAACATTTTACTGGGATAAGTATCTATATGCAAACATTAGTTTATTAAGAATGTAAGGCAAAAACAGCAAAGCTAAAAACAGAAGGTGGACCTGAGAGCACAAGGAGCAAAGTAGGAGACTACCAGGGTGGAGATGGGGACTGCCATGGCTGTGACAAACCAGGCATAGATGGCATCTGTGGTTGTGACAGAACAGGCAGGGAATGCAGGACACTTGCGAACTAATTAGGGGAAACAGGAACTAGACAGAAGTCCACATTACAAAACAAGGGCACAAGGACAAGAACATGACAAACTGCATCCACTGTCATCATTTACTCATCCTCATTTTGTTTCACACCTTTCTTTCCTCTGTGGAACACAAATAAAGATATTCTAAAAATGAGTGTGGTTCAGAACAACATTGGACCACAGTGACTTTCATTATATGGTAAATCTAAAAACAAACAAATAACACTGATACAGTGTCAACAGACACACATTCTCACATCCACAGAAGAATCCATGTAGATTTAGAATGTCATGAGGCTAAGTAATAGATTACAGAATGTTCAGTTTGGGTGAACTATCCAAATGAGACAAATGAGCAAACTGTCATCAACAGTCCATACCTTCTACAGTCTAAAACACATTTTATTACATTTTTTTATTCATGGATTTGCTTAAAATTGATTCAATTTTACATTTTATTCTAATATTCTCTATCCTTTTCTGTCACAAGGTCAACGCACAGTAACTGAAGAGAGCATGGAATACACCACAACACTAGAGACAGGAGAGAGACTTGAGGTATGTGTTGAGTGGATTTCAAAAATAGAATAAAAGCAGGAAGTTAAAAATCCTTAACTATACAGCTTAAATTACTTTCTGAGATTTTTAACACTTTACACAACAAAATGTCTTTGTTCTGGTGAACTGTAAATTAAATCGTAAGCTAGTCCACAGCTGATTTTCTATAATTGAGCTATCCTTTCAAGGGAACTTCGAACTGCGTCCTCTAGGGGTCGCTATGGGGAACGCCTCGTCGTGACCTGTGTTAGGGGTCGCTATGGGGAACGCCTCGTCGTGACCCGTGTCTGAAGCATACATTGAAAAAACACCAACAACACGTTGGCCGGCGACAGCCCATGACGTCACTACCGGTGCGACTATAGTATAAATAGGCGCCGGGAGAACATGTCATCCTCTTCTTCGTCTTCACTGACTGTTTTGTTTGAAGCGTGCATTTCCGTGGTAAGAGCGATCTATATTCCTATCATTATGGCGAGCACTAGCAAAGCGTTTAAAGGTTGTGTGCATCCGCGTCGTCGTTATTTGACACCTGATGACACACACGATCTCTGCGTGTGTGTGGGCAAAGAGCACGCACGCGATGTCCTTGAGGGGGCAATCCGCGTTCATTGCGAGCATTCTTCAATGAAAAGCTCCGCTCTCGTTTGTCTCTCTTTTCGAGGAAAGAGGGGAAGCCATCTGCTTCCCGCGGCTCAGGAGCCACCGCTGCTGAGGCACGGGGGAGAATGGGCTCGTGGGGATCGGAGGTGGATCTGACCGATGAGTTTAAAAAGGGGCTTTCCCTCTTGCGCTCGTCAGCTGTGGACGTTATTTCTTTAACATCATCTGATCCAGGGGCCGGTGCTGATCTGAGGACGGTGAAGAAGCTGAGGCTGAGCCTTCCCAATCCTCCTGCTCTGCGTATGGTGAGTTTTGAGCATTATCTTTCTTACGCATTCATCGATTCCAGCATACGAGTTATGCCAACATCGAGGCGATGCGCGAAAACGGCTATGAGAGGATGCCCCTGTAGAAAAGACGACCGGCTAGCTATCTTTCTATTGGTGAGACGTCCTCTCTTAAAACTCCCTCCTTGCTATCTCGCTTAGATGGCAGGGCATACGCAGCAGCAGGTCAGGCTGTTGCTTAGTTGCACACGATGCGGTGTTCCAGGCATATTAGGCTGACCTGCTGGAAGACCTGGATAAAGGCCCGATGAGGTAGCCGAGTTGCGCCGCACCACGGATCTCACTTTCCGTGCTACTAAGCATGGTTGCTATGGTAGTTATGGAGAGACATCTGTGGGTGAACCTGGCAGATATCGGGATGAAAGAGAGGGGCTTTTTTCTCGATGCGCCGGTTTCGCCTTCCGAATATTTTT